AAGCGAAATGACACTCGCCTACAAGTACTTATCATGGCAACTAACCAAGACAAGGTAATTAAAGCAACATTGGGTTGAACCCGAAGCAAGAGTTAAACTTAACAGTTCCATCTTTCACAAACATAGATAAGTTTTTCAAAAGAAATTGGACTAAATATTTGATGTTTATCTGTATATGATATTGTGTAATTGATTATTTAATCAATCTAATTTTCATCATTAAAAAATCACAAGTCATATAAGACAATGTAGAAAAAATCAGATGCGGAGAGAACTTGATATATTACTAATTTAAATGAAGATGGACAAAAGTGATATTCCGTAATTGTTAGAAAAAATTTACATAACGAGGGTCGAATGGGTCACTGTGGAGGCGCGCTTTACGCATCTTTCCCTGCTTCCGAAGCAGCACCCAACCACGAGTATGGTTTACGTGTGCGAAACCTATATATCTGATTGACACCATGTGTATATATACGCTATATCATCCATGATCATGTTTGCAAGTGCGTATTTTGCGAGCATATCATAGTAGCAGTCAACATGTTGCAACTACACCACATGTTGAAATCTAATAAGAGCACAAAATCAAAAAGCTTATCTATAGGACTCCCATTGACGAAATTAGCAAAACAAAGCGGACATGAACAAATCCACACACACACAACCAGAAAGTGATGGATGAAAAGCTCCCCTGCAATCCACCCAAGGCCAAATTTTTGGAATGAGTCCAACACAACTCAACCGATAGAAGTAGCAGGGGATATGCGTGGCGACACGTTCTGAAGGTCCCGTCTGTATGTGTGCCATTGCCCTAAGCAGGTATGTTAGGAGCTGATCCAATGATTAATAACCAAGCGCCACATCGCTTTTCAAATGTGCACTTTCAGACATCACACAAAAAAGATCGTAATGGCAGAACATCAAGGTATGTTATATTTCACCTTTAGGGAGAGCCCTCTTAGAGCATGACCTCCAGCCACCAGACGAACTGAAGTAGCAAAGTATGTGACCAATGACAACCACACACAAAGATGTAGCTGAGTAAACAGAAGTTCAACTAACCCTTATAATTGGGTGACGAGAAAGCTAAACAGTGATGATATTGCTTTTCTTTGTGATATATGATCGAGGAATGAACGATTGGAGTTTTAAGTCTTCCCGTACTTTTGGTCGAGAGAGATCAGGGCAGGATTTATTTCATCTCTCTTGTTTTCCCATCATGTCATCTTTGAGTCTTGAACACCTCATTAAAGTCAACAACCGCCGATCATCATATCCTCTGGCACTTTCTTGCCCTAATCAGCCCTGGTCGCAAGATACCATGGCATGCTTCCAAGAAATGTCATTCGGTTCAGTGCTAATCCAGAGCAGCACAGTAGGAGATATTGTCAAAGCGCCCGAGCTGATGATTATTGGCGATTGTTGACTATATTGATGATTATTGGCTATTGTTGACTGTATTGAGGTGGTCAACACTCAAGATGACATGTTCCGAAAGCAAGTTGGACAAGTTTGTGAGCTTTAAAGGTAACTGATTGTTTAAAAAATATTATTTCACCTATATTATTTCACCATAAACTTGTAATTGCAAAGTGAAATTGGTTTTCTTATAATATCAGATTTACGAGTAACTATTCATTAGAATATCAAGGAGTGATTTACATAGTATAAGAAATTTTTAGAACTATTTGACGGAGTCTCTCGATGAGTTCATCTAGCGTGGCCGGAGTTTATGAAAGTTTTGCTGGTTAACGTATATCAGGTACAATAGATTTGAAAGCAATGAGAATTTCGTTTGTGTGTAATTGTACTTTAAATGCTTGAACGGTAGTACCTCTTCTCGTTTGTGTGTAATTGTACTTTAAATGCTTGAACGGTAGTACCTCTTCTCGGATGCCATCAGTGGACCGACATGGCTAATCACAATTAGGCGCGTTGGTTAAATTCACATGTGATTATAACAGATATAGGCGATACACATTCTACAACAATCAAACGCAGTCAACGAATGACTTAAAAACTGCATTCTTCCTGGGCTGGTATCAAGCGAGTCAAGACCTTTCCAGGTCAAGGCCACATGTAACTCACGGACGTAGCACGGCACGCCCATATTTGCAACCATTTCTACATGCCACGAGATGGAAGGTCTCTTTAAACTCGTACTTCAACCCTAGATTGGAAACGATTGACGATTCAGAGAAACACAAGGTGCGATATACTTTTGCTGAAGACTGCGCTTGCAACAAGTGGTCTGAGTCGGTCTGGTTGAATCAATACCTTGGAAAGATCAAGCGTATGTGGCTGCCTTCTTGCATCCTCGAATCACGTTCGTGACCTTCTATCCATGCCCCGCTGAAGTCATGAGGATCCAACTTCAGCCCATCCGAACTTCGCTATAACGCCGCTCTGACTTCCCGGGGGAAATCTAGTGAAAGGTATGAATGGAGTTTTCAAGTACTGTGCAACGATTGTCATCGAGACAATCCAGGATCAAACTGACAGGTCTTGACGAGAAAGATTTACCATCCTTTCTCGCTTTTGCACTGACTCTATGAAGTTTCTGTGCGTTCGGAGGTGACAGCGTGAGGTTCTCTTCCAATAATCGACAAGATCTGCGCAGCCGCCGCTGAACTGTCACATGATCACCGTTTCTCTTCTTCAGTTTCCGTTACAGACATTGGCGGTTGATTCGCTCGACCGCTTGTCGACACTTTGAATTTAAACTCCTCCTATAATAAGCCAGCTGATGAGAAGCGTTTGAAAGTTTAAGCGCGTTCAGGGTTCTCGCCACAATAGCGACACCCGCTGATTGCGCCTTAGCGGCGCAATTAGCACCTTTAGGGCTGGAAAGGAAAGTATCATTTACGGAATTATGAAATTAAAATTTTCTAAGTCGATTGCTTGAGAAAGTGGCTGAAATTGTTATTTGATAGTTACGGGTTTGTGCATGCTTATAACACCTAGACAAATTCATCACCATCATTTTTTATTTAGACGTTTTAACTCTTAGATAGTCATTTCAAGTATCAAGATGATATAGCGTTGATAAGATTAAACGCGGAGTTAGAATATAACATCCTTAGTCCTATGTTGACATACATGATAGTCAAACCAATATTCTTAATATTCACATGAGAACATCTTCATTGCACACTTGCCATCACATTGACATAAAGTGTCAATCTTGAACTATATCATTCTCTTAGACAAGAATAATGTCCAATAACACTTAAAAAAGGAAAGTACTGACGGCTACAGCAAGTAATCCACATAACAATTTTGAGCTAGTAATTTCTACATTGAGATACAAGTAACCATCAATGTTCGAAAGATTACATGATGCAAAGTAGATAATTTCAATAGATGGATGTCATGGTCTCCTATTTAAATTTGATGTTTGCATGAGTGGTTTACTTGTCCAGTTATCATAATATGATAGTCAAATGTGGTAAGATTTCAAAAATATGTCCAATAGCAGTGTAATGTTCTCATTGCGATGAGAAGACGAGCTATTTTGATTGATACATGGCAGGATTGTACACTAACAAAGGTAACGCACATTTTTGCTTTTATCTATATTTTGTATTTTGTAACCAAAAAGTTAGTACTTTACGAAATATACAATACATGATGCTAATCGAAATGACTATAGTTATAATCTTATTTGAAAAGTTCCACGCGAATATGACCAAACTATAATATTTAAAATTGATTGTGCCATTCACTCTATCCATGCATGGCCAGGTTACCGAACTGCATTTGACGCGTGGCTAAAACTCGAAAATAGTATTGGATTTGATTATTGGATGGAATTTGAATTGGGTTTCATCAAAATACTAATGAAATGAAGCTGAATATGTGAGAATTTATGCTAAACACAAGGTTTTCACGCGTACACGGATAATATACAACTCGGAGAAACTTTGAGTTAAGTCAACGAAACTTCTTGTTGTATAAGAAGGAATATATGTATTCTAATTGTGAAAAGTTGATGAACATATTACTATAAATTTATCAATATACTTATTTCTGTCGTGAACCTTAGGCAATGTATATTGGTGACTTAGAATGTGCGATGCTTCTTTACAAAGTCTACTATGAAACATGCAGAAACTATTGGCCAAACTAAAATTTCATGACTAAGAAAATTCGTGTCAATGCATTCACTTTCCAGCATGTGGCCCACCTGAATTCTTCAGCTTCCATGCATTCGCCCTAAACACTATCAAGTGCATCTTCGTCTCCTCACGTGACCCGCGGTGAGGCTGATTCGAGAAGAAGATTCGAGGCTCTTAGCATGAATCTCAACCCTGTGGTATGCATAGCTACGTACCCTTGAGGCAAAGCTGCAGAGCCATCGATAGATCCAAATGCCTTATTTCTTCTCGACTCACAATCTGGTAACAGTAGTCTGGATGCGCTTTGAGGTTCGAAGCGCACAATTTTACCTCGAAAATCGAAGATCACTGAAATGTCGTGGCTTTGCATGCAGGGACTCCAGCTGGCGAGCAAACTGCTGTACTACCTTCGTGAATCCAACGAAATGAAATGCCTTATCTCCCTAGACGGAATGAAAAATCTTTCACTTTGCGACTCATATATGTCTTGTGGTCAAAAGGCACTCGAGCGTTATGAACAGAGCAGAAGATAGTTCTCGTGATCTACTGGAAAGTGGAACACCGTGACCACAAAAGCACGAGGTAAAGCGATGTGCCACTGTCATGAGAAAAGGGTCGAGTTGGCGGCACCTTTGTTGGAAACATCGACTGGCGGTGATATAAGATTCTGTGAAGTTTCCGCGTGGAAGAGTTTGCTTCTGGCCTCAGGATGATCCTTGCTCCGAAGGCTTCCAGGTTCAAGGAGAATATGGAGCACAAGGTTCCATGTCCTCACAACAAAATAAAAAGAAACATGGAGAGCCATGACGACGGTGATGCATTTCCGAACAACTCCCTCACTGGGATCATGAGACTCAGGGAGAGAACTGCTGTGAAGTAAAAGGGGTAAAAGTGTATTGAATCAATGAGATAGTAAGAAAAATTTACATGGTAGAAGTTCCCAACCTGCCAGTCGACGACCTATATAAAATGAGGCTACCATTCTTCCTTGCAAAAAGACGATCGAAGCGTAGTTCTAAGTATTGGTAAAATCAAACAAAATAGTACACCCTAGTTCCAGGATCGACCGATCCGTATCTAACTACTCTAACGCGAGAATGCAGCTGGAGTGTCTGTCCTATCTACGTCAAATCCTGGACAAAGATTTTCTTCCAATGGAGAATGGTCTAACCAGAGTGCTATATGTCTACAATGAGCCCGACCAATGGCCATGGCATGGGATGGAGCAACGCTGTTTTTGAGGTTTTCAAATCTCAGACCCGGAACTTTCGACCTTCCAAGTTCGACAAATTCGATGACCTAGTCGTCTTGCGTATAATAATATACATAGAGAATAAGGTTCACGCAATTTGCTCTGTAGAATAAGAACGAACTGACTACCCGCTCGACGTTTTCATGCCGCTGCCAAATGGTCAGGTTACACCGAGATTGAATCGCTGCTCCAACTGAATGTCAATGAATAATGAATCAGTCATAAAAAAAGTGTAGTCCCTAGAAGCAGACCTCAGTCAATCCCCCTCTACAGTTGTGGCTCGCGCACCCATTGTTGGTTTCCGTTATCTTCTCCGTAGACGGGTGGTCTGGAACCGTTGGCACGTCCTTCCTCGCCGAGCTTGTCAGACGGTATCCGCGTCTTCTTAAAGTACCATGCACTCCAGGTGCCGATTTCCAAAATCAGGGCAATCACAGCCAATGTGATCAGGATCACAACGTATGCAGTCTTCCACCCCTTCGCAGGTGCTAGAATTTCGATACCCTCGAAAACGTTGATTATGCTGAGGATGATCAGAGTGAAACCGATTGTGTGATGGTACACGTTCCAGTACTTTCGGTACTTGTTATCCAGGTTGGGCCTCAGTCCCAGGGCTGTGAGCTGCAGACATTCATAACAGCAAAGCGATTCTCGTCAGAGATATTGGCCTCGAAGTATGTTCCTTCGGTTTCTTCGAAAAATTTGTCAAATAATGGTGTGATCACAGTTTCCATCAACAAAACTCAGAACTCAATTACCAACAAACTCAACCGTCCCGAGGATAGTGTACTTTCCACAAATTTTTCCAAGTGCTAAAATCTTACTTTCTGTTACGATTTGAATTCTGCTAACTTCAGCGACTTCCCGACCAGAATTAAAACAGGGACAAAAATATTCTTCAGCTTCATTGGTTGCTGGATTGGCAGATAATTCAGAGATTTGTCCTGTAAAGCTGCCTGGAGAAACAGAGGGATGATTCTTCCTGGCTGAGAATTTGGTGCTTGGGAATGCATGACGTGAGTGTGGTGCTCAAGGTGGCTGAACAGTAGAAGAGGTTCAAACCTCAAATCTGAAGGGAGAATAGGGCACTTGAAGACGTTGACTGTAATTAGTTAGACCGTGGGTCCGACTGATCATGAAGGAGCATTAAGAGAGACCTCATCGTGGTTCATCAAAGTTCAGAGTTCGATGATTCGATGCTTTGTATCTGAAAGTGCACAGACGGCGAAAACACATCCAGGAGCTTGAGAGGCAAGACAGTAGGACTGTCGGATTCCCACCTGAAGAGTCGCCAGCGTGAAAAGCGCAATGCCAAGATTCTTATGCTTGTCGTGGTCGACGCTGGTCAAGGTGCCGAGCTTCAATCCCATACCCCAACCGACCACTCCCAAAATGTATGCGGACACTTGACATCCGACGTGCACGTAGAACCACAGAGGGTCGAAAATCTTGAAGGGTCGCATGTAGCGTGCTGCCATGACTCCGAGGGGAAACATGAATCCCCAAGCGAGCGCGTTAACAATTCCGTGGTTCTGCATCCAGTGCAAGATAAGTGTCAATTTCTAGCTATCCGCCTCGACTCCCTGAAGCCCGAACATGAGAAAGCTAAAACAAACCAGCTCGAGGACCTTCGAGACGTCACACAACTGTCAATTAGAAGTAATCAACATGAAAAGTTTTTCGACAGCTACCGTCACGAGAACTTACATCCTTCAGTGTTTTGTTGGGGATTTCGGAAGCTGTCACGGTTCCGGTCGTGACATCTAGCTTTCCATAGCTGGCAGCGTTGTCTCCGGTCAGGCTGTGCGGGCCCGGGGAGTAACCCGACACGCTGGAACCGTAATTCCACAGCTGGTTGAGCGTCGTTTGATCCTTCGTGAGCTGGAGTTTGGCACTGAAAGTGACATTGAGACCGATGATTGTCACATTCATGGAATTGGGCAGAACCACCATGTCGATTGCGGAGGGCGGCGTGGGCGAGCCGATGAGCTTGTAAGGCAAGAGGTTGGTTCCGTTGGCGCCATTGAAAGCAATCAGCGCACTTCCGCCAGTCATCAACTCTCCCGTCGGATTGAACCCCCAGCCTGCCCAGCCGCTGGCGGAGCTCAGCACGGCGTGAAACTCGAAGTCGAATTCGAATGTCGAGGGGTCGTAGTTCCAAGAGAGCGAGGATCCGAGCTTCGGAAGACCGAGGCACTGCTGGAACGATTTCGGCTGTCCACTGGTGCTCTTCAGAATTGTGCTATTACAACCCTGCGCGAGCACGACCTCTGCCCAGCTGAACAACGTCAGCGCGGCCACCAGAGCCAGAACGGGCACGGGCGCAAGCCGCCGCGAGTGAGCCATTCCCCGCTTCCTCGACCTACACAGTGCACCTCCTCCGAGTTCTCCTCGCAAAGTTTCGACCGCAATCCACTTCCGCTGCTGGAGCCCGCTTCTCACTCTCTCTGTTCCCCCGCCCTGATCGACTCTCTAATCGACCCAATGACCACGGATGGTTCTACTTCCTCGATTCCGACCTCGATCCAAGAAGCGAAACTTCAAATTTTCCTTCCGCTCAATTTCGTCGCCTAAGAACACAATTGTCCTCCCGCGGCGATCGATCGACAGTTCCTGGTGCTAAAAGTAAAAATGGTGAGGCAATTGGAGACCCCCAAAGACAGAAAACACGGGAAAATGTGGCGCGATTGCGCCGACGAGGTCCAGTAATTTTTTGGCAGGCGTTGTGCGCGCCTGATTGCGGACTTGGAGCTCGCCGGTACGGTGAGTACGACCGTCCTCGGCAGCGCGAAGTCCGTGGATATGGATGGGTCACGGCAGAAGGGAGAAGAACGGGAAGACGGAGAAGAAGAACACGAAGGGAAAACCAGAATTGAACGAAGGAGGAGGACGAGAAGAGGTGGAAGAAGTGGAGGAAATGGGAGGGCGGGGGGTGAATGAAGCTGCGGAATGCGAAGAGCAACACTGTCAGGGGGGCATTATAAGCAGCTGGCCAAAGATGGTCCTCCGGGGGAGCCTTCGTGTGCTTCTCGCGTGCCCCCGTCCCCGAAAAGAAAGATCTGGTCGGACTGACCCGCTCCCACTCTTCCCCCCGCGCGCCCACTCTCCCCCTCCCTCCCTCCCTCCCTCCCTCACTGACAGACTCAAGCCCCTGCCCGCTGCCACTGCTACCGCCTCCTGCAGGTCATTGACCGATGGTCTCCCCCGACTCGCTCCCCTGAGCATCCCCTGGGCATGGAATCTCCGGGAATCGGAACCGGTCGTGCCGACGACGAAGTCAGGACTCTGCGACCACACGGCCGCCATCCCCCCACGAAAGAAACAAAGAAAAAAAGACACCACGAGAGAAAGAAAGGGAGCCCCCCCACCATCCCCCCGTCCCCCCGCTCGGGTCGTGCCCTCAGGGCGGGATGAATGAGCCAACCAACGGAGGACGGTGGACCCGACCACGCGGCTGAAGAAGTTGGGTGTGTCCAACCGTCCGTACATCCGTCCATCGCCGTCGAATGGACAGATGGACGGGGAGTGGAGGGGGGAGCCCCCAAAAGACAAAAGATATTAAAATTATCCGGCTCTCGTCCCCTTTCATACAAATCTCGCCTGCATGTGAGTGTAACGTGAGAGTGTGGCGTGGCAACAGTCTCTCAGCTGGTTCCAAGCGAACGATCGAACTGCTCATGAATGAGCTTTGGTGCGTCCCATGGATATCCATCCATCCATCCATCCCACTGCCCGGAGACCATACCAGCAAGAATTCATCCATTCACCTGCGTCACGAGAAAATTCATCTCCTTTTCCCCCACCAGCTGAAATTCATGAATTTGCCTCCTCCTTGACTTAGTCTGCTCATGTGCTAGCTACGAGCTAGCATAGCAGTCCGTCGAGAATGGTTGAATTCTCTTTTGTTGCATCAACAGGTTAAGTTTGCACAGTGGCGGACAGCTATTGCATGGAGCTTCGCTCGGGAATAGTTCGTTGTTGTCCCCTAGCGATATATGTACGATCTGTGTATATAAAGTCCGTTAAATCCATAAGCAATTCTGAGGATGAAATGTGTTTCGTGTATACAGACAACGGATACATGTGGCATACGCTGGTGGTGGTGGTTGTTGTTGTTCTGGTGACCATTAACAATCTTTTAGCATCCTTGCATCAGAGGTGCAATCATCTGAGACCCAAATGTTTGGAGAGAGCGTAAGAGATCATACAAGGAGATGGTTTTAGCATAATCCTCGGAGCGAATAAAACTTTTATCCTAAATGTGATTCAAAGTGACATCATTTCATCATTGCAGGGGTCCGATCTGTCCAGCACAAAGTGAGTGGTTCCTTCGGCACGAGATCTGGAGGTTTCGTTGCAGCGCTTTTCGTGACTTTGAGAGGACTTTTGGCCGATGGGTGCAAAGCTCCTTTTGCGATTAATCTTGTTGGAGTTCTCGACTCTGCTCACATTTGTCCTATGTGGGCAAAACTGGAGTCAACCTCTTCCAAACTGGGTGGACTTTACCAAGTTCTTGGTGTATGTGCAGCAACTTGCGAGTACCTTCACTGTCCTACCCCTACTGACAGTTTTGCAGTTAGTGTACATTGTCTACTGTGGTTTGTTGCTATTTATTACTCATTTAATGTATCCTACGCTTGAGAAAGGATAGTAGAGTAAGAGTGTCATACTCATTAACTCTGATAATGTAGATATTACAATAAGATGTATACATTAATATTGACATACTCTATTGATGTGTAAAGTTTCTAACAAATCATATTTCAGCACGTGATGAATGAGTTCTTCGGCGCTAGATGTACAATGTCCAATCCAAATTGATACAAAGAATTCCTTTAAGTTGAAATTTCTCTGTACATGATTTCATAATAGCAAGAAACCTTTCTGACAAAGATGTGCAACACTTTTAAAATAAACAAAACTTGCAATTATGATCTCACAATCAAGATCTAGACACTTTAAACTTGTTAGTCCTTCCCATTTTGCTCCAAAGTCTGTACTCGATAAATTCATCTTCTGACCATTATATTTATGAAAAGAAAATTGATTGGATGAAATATGTTATTTAGTAGATAAGAGATTCAAATATTCATCGTTGTAACACTTATTAGAAAAATTCCAAAAACTAATATCTAACCCAACTTTTAATACTAATAACTAGCGCATCATTTTCCTACAAGCCGCCTTTGTCATTTCATGTTCTTATAATCTCAAGTAAAAAGTGCCTAAACCCTTCGTACCCGAATGATCTGGCAGATCTGAACCTTAAACTCGTGCTGCCCAGCCCAATCCTACGTGGTTGGAATAATGTGGACCCACTCTACGCGGTTGGTATCTTCAATGCTCTTGTTCTATTACTTGGTTTCTCTTAAGATTTGTATGGCTTTCCGGAGGGTATTGCCAGAAGATTCAGGATTACGAAGGTCTGAAAGTCCCATCAAATCTCGGAAGACCTCAAGCACGACTTGTGTGGTCAGGTCAGAGAAATCAGATTCGTTTGATCTCAGCAGATTTTATGGGTCTAAATTTATGTAGTTTCTGGATGGGAATAAGATCCGCATGGTTCAAAAGTAGGGAATTTTCACCAGTGCGCAAGACCATGGCTTCTATAGTCTTGTGCATGTGCAAGTACTACATAAGAATAAGAATCATGATGGTGTGATTTGGAAGAACATTATGCATAAACATTCTCTTCTGAAGAACTTTGAACGTTGTAATAGCATGAATTCAAGATGGAAAGTTGAGTAGAGAGACTCTAAATGTACATTAAGAAGTTATGTTTTAAATATACTACGTAGACTTCGACTTAACCGTTTTAACGTGGCGTAGTATAGTACTTGTACTTGCACAAGACTAGTAGAAGCCATGGTCTACTACTAATTCTTATTTTTATTCAGCATGAGTTTTTATACCTCTCCTCTACTTGAATTACTTTCATATGAGCTTCATCGCAAAATGATGAAACTCCTCAAGATAATATGTGACCTACTAAGCTCCATAAGATGCAAGTAACACAACCAAAACGTTGTAAACTATGCATACCACAAAGAAGATGTTCAACTTTATGAACTTTCAGGCTCTTCGTAAACAAGATACTTTTCATTCACACCTAAATGACCATAAGCACAAGCAAGAAGCTACTCAAATACCACCAGGTGAACCAGGTCAAGTGGAGGTTGCAATTAGGTTTAACGATGACAAAATATATTCTTCTATATTATGTCTTTAGTTTAACCTCAGTGCTATAAGGACGGCTACAATCAAACGTGACATTGGAAATAATATTTACAGTTGTCAGCCGAGATCACTCAGAAGCAATGTACGAAAAACCTGAAAAAAAGTCATTATCGACAATTTCAGATTACGTAATATCAGTTAAATAGTCTAGAGTGCCGCTGTCCATGATCAGACCGAATATTTTCGAGTGACTAGAAGAAGAAGAAGCAACAACTTTAAAAGGTTAGACCTCAAAAAGTTATGAGAATATAGGATGAGTTCAAGAATCAAGAATCGAATATTAATCGTGCTTTCTAATGAATGCAAGAGATACGGCTTAAAAGAAACTTCCTGCTGAGCAAGATACGTCAGAGCAATTTTTTTTCTGTAGTTGTAGTTCCTGCGATGTGGGAAGTTCTGCAATATACATGTCTACATGATGAAACTTCAAAAAAATGAAAATTTGAATTTTTCTTTTCTTTTTAAAGTAGAGGATGTTCCCACTTGGGACATATGGACGGTGAAGCTGCCATAGGCCATTAAGCGGCCGCTTTATGGCCTATAGCAGCACTACCCATATTTTCCAACTGAAAAATGAATAAAAAATTAAAAGGAAGGAAATAAGCATGGCCCACCACGATTTGAAGTTGTGGCCAATTGTGCACAAAATTTCTGCTTCTCGAAATTCGTTCCTTTCCATTGTCAACGCGGGGTCTCCATCTAGAACCAAAATGGAATCTGCTGCTCCAGAACTGCTGCAAATCTGATAGCAGATAATTACATCGCTCGAAATAATGGAGTGGGCCTGGACTGCTCAGACGCTTCTCTACTGGTTTCTTTGTGGAGGTCAAAAGCGCAACAACTCACACCTTGGCCGGACTCGTGTCGACAGGCAGGGCTGCGCGTCAATCACCTTCGCCTCCGTTCTGACTTTCGGGCGCTTCTGATTTTGTGGTCAGTGTGAATGTCGGTAATCATGCATTTCTCCCTCGGCTGTTTACATTTGGTGTGCAGGCTTCGAGTTCAATGCAGTCATTTCCCCTTCCTCGTAGTTTTGGTCTCCTTTGGTGCAATACGCAATTCCTTCATTCTGATGCTATTCTTTGATAAGTTCAAATATATTTTGTAATAATTGTTCCCAAGGTTCGTCTTGTATTTCGAATTCTTTTTCCTTTCAAAAATAACATGAACTTGAACATGCATTCACCGCTCACTTTCATGCTAAGAATATATGATCAAAAGAGAAAAGAGGAAATCGATTAAGAATATTCTATTTTATCTAACTCTGACTGAGTTAGATAATCCGAGGCTATGGAACTTTTGGTCTTTTAATTTTAATCTTGCAGAGATTCTGTAGGTAGTCAGACACTCGGGTTTTACTATTCTCCATCTCGTTACTCTTCACAAGAGTTTCAACATTCAATAAATAGCAAGCTGTATCCTTATGTCATGCAAGTTGGATACATTGTGTACTCTCATGAATGACGATCGAAACGTCAATTTCTAATATCTAAATGCTCCAGATATATGGTATACAAGGATCTCACTTCCTACTTCTTCAACGCATGAACTCAGGTGGAAATACACAAGTTATGCAAAAGAATACTGTGAGTCCCAAATTTTCCATATAGCATGTACATAAACTTTTGTAATTTTTTTTCCTATTTGAAGTTTAGAATATAAGGATATATGAATTTCATTTGCAAGCCATGTGAAAAATAATATCTCGTTTTGTGATAACTCTCATGATACGTCGATATCTAAATCTCCAGATATATTGTATACAGTACAAGGAACTCATGCATGGATCATATGATTATACATAGCGTATGTAACATTAGTCATGCAAA